AACTTGATTTATGAAACACTGTCAGAGAGAATTCTTTAAAAATCTACCCGTCGACCCACTTTCATAACATTTTTTCACACCATAAAATTAGAGGCTGTTCGAACAACAGTGTCTCAGGAACTATTAAAGATTAAAAGACTGTTTTATTCACTGTTATCTGTCATCCTGTCATTGATCCACAATCTGCAGTTTTACACGAGAACATTGAATAATATCTGATTATGGGTGAGTCGAAATATGAAAAAACGTTGAAATCATCATGAAAAGTCTCATTTTTGAGCTCAAATCAAGAAAAAAATGGTCGACGAGGGATATTTTCTGAACCACATGTAGCTGCATGTCACAATAATACAAACCTAAACGTACCGAATACATTTAATAAGAAACACTGGGTCACAAAAATGAAAAAATAAAAAGTTATTTTCAATAAACTGATGAAGCAGGTTTGACAAGTTTGTGTTCGTGACTCCCCGATTAGAATATTTAATATATCATGATGATAACTTTGTTGTTTATGCATTAATGCGGTAAAAATTAATTTATTAATTCCACAGATTATTCTCTTCACATTAACATGTGAATTTTCTTTTGAATGAATGACTGAATAAATGGAATTTATTTCGAACAAATGAAAGGAAAAAATAATATTAAAACAAAAGAAAATAATTTTAAAAAGAGCGTTAAAGAAAATAATAATATTACATAATCAAATCATTATATTAACAAGTTCAAGAAAGGAGAGGGAAGAAGTACATAGTTTTAATTTTGACAGCCCTAACACACATTTATTTGATAAATGTAGGCTTTACTTATTTTTATTTTTTAGCAATGATCTGGCGACCCTCTGAATTTATCTTGGGACCCCCATGGGGGTCCCGACCCTCAGATTGAGAACCACTGCTCTAGACAGTGCAGATCTATGAAGTTGTACCTCCTCATAACTCTGCTTAAATACAGTAAAACTACATTACACTAGATAATGGCAAGTTGGAATATTGGAGTAATTCAGCCACACAAGAAAGAATAACGACAGGAAGTCCCTCCTGAAGCCGACAGGTTTGGTTCTTTATGTTTGTCACATTTCAAACCCTTTAAGTCTGACTCTTGGTTTTGGAGACTGTCATCAGAACACTGCAGTTTAAAGGTAGAAAAGCTCATCTGTGATCTTTACTGCTTATTTCACTCGTGATGCATCTTCTAGTGCATAAAAACTACGACATGGACGCGATATGAAGAAAAACTCAGATACTCACCAATGGAGGTCATCACTCTGAGCTCCATCTATAGGTGTTCCTCCACCGTGTATGTCTTTATTTTTAGGTTCTCTGGTGACCTCATGTCCTTCTACATCAACCCTCCCACTTTGGAAGCTGCCGCTCAGGACCATCTTAAATGGCAGCAGTGACTCCACAGGTGGCTGCTGCTGAAATACAAAACCCTGTTTGGCTCGACACCAACGTGTAAAGAGCAGCGGCATCATCGGCGCTGGTTCACACATGTAGCTTCACACGGACGATACGCTGAAAACATAAATCCCAGGCGCGGACCATCACTTCCATGAAGATGGAGGTTCTCACCAGAGACAGATTAAACGAGAGAAACAGCTTCTAATACATCAGGATCTATTTTCACAAGCTAAAGAGCGCTGCTTCAGATTAACTTCAGTGTAAAAAGCATGTTGTGTTGTTGTCAAAACACATTTAGCCTTTTTAATTGAAAGTATTTTAACGTTTTCCTTTGTTTGTCTGTAGCCTGAATCTGAGAGAAAAAACAAATGCTTAGATATAAATACCAACATATATATGTATATGAGACTTCCAGACGGATGTTCTTGTGCCTGAAATTGCTCAGAAAACATAAAAAATTAACTTCCTTGTGGATAAACAATAAAATCGGGGTGTGTCACGTCACTGAAAATAAAATAATTAAGATAAATAAGACTAAAACAGAAAAGTAAAAAGTAATGCTGGACATGAAACTGATGGAATTCGTCACATCACTCGTGATGATGAAATATTGCAAGAAAAACAAAATACTGGACATCACAATGACAGCGTTTACACAGAAGTGAAATACTGTCACCAAAGTACTTCACATCAACATGAATCTGATGTGACACAAACTGCTGAGCAACACTGAGAACGGCACAGATGTTCAGATCTAAGTGTGCTGCATGGTGACGCATTCAGGAGAAAACTTTAACAACAAATACAACTTTTTGCTTTATTCCAGAGTCTCTAAATGATAGAATAGAGCCTCTAAAAGGAACAGGAAAGCCTCTCATTGACTTCCTTGCAGTGGTGAAACTACTTATACTTACTGATAAATGTGGGGATGTTTTGTTCCAGCATGGTGTCGGACCTGCTTCTGTATAAATGCAGATAGAGAGACTCTTATAGACGATACTTGCTTGAAAACATCAGGACTATAGCTGTAGTTTGCCATCTAGTGGTACATTAGCAGTCTTGCATCATTTGCACTCGATGAACTTTTATTTTTAAGCCACCCACTGGCTGAAACTATAACTTTCTGTAAACCATTAGCTGCATCCTCGTCAGGGATGAAGGGAGCTGAAGCCAAACTGGAATCACCAGTCGTCCTGCACAAAGAGCCACCGTCTATGGAAAGAACATGAAGACTCCACACTGAAAGTCAACCAGCAGGTTTAAACCTTAGAGCCGTCTTGCTGTGAGGTGACTGAGCCGCTCTACAAAAACAACTGTATGAGACACAGAAGACCAAAATGGGACAAAAGCGACGACAAAATGATGCAACATGTCTGGATGTTAATAATATTCACATTAAATCCAGTTTGTCATCAGTCTTCAACTTCAAAGCTGTGATTTGTGGTTTCCTTGCACGTTTTGCACCATTTTGTGTCTCTTTATGGTCATTTTTGGGTCATTTTGAGCCTCATACTGTTAATTATGTATCCTGTAGTGGTTGTTTTTTCATTTTTCATTTTGTGTCACATCATTTTTGCAACTTTTTGTGATTCTGCACCGAAACAAAACCATCTGTCAGTGAACATATAAATGAAGCAGCTTCATGTTGAATTGTGAAAAGTTCATTAGATGTTTCTGTAAAATCCCTGGTGAGTTATTTGTTTGGCCTTTCGTGCCTTTATAAGATAGTACAGTGAAGAGAGAGAGACAGGAAAGTGGGGGAGACGAATGGGAAGGACCTGCAGCAAGGTGTCATGAGCTGGACTTGAACTCACGACCACTGTGTCGGGGACTCTAGCCCCTGTACATGGGACGCCAGCTCAGCCAGGTGAGCTGTCACGGCGCCCCTCAGTTGAGTTATTTTGACAGCTGTGATGCCATCTACACTCTGTCTTTTCCATCTTAAATTCTCACTAGAATATAGAAAAATGGGCTGCAAGGTGGCTCAGTGGTTAGCACTGTTGCCTCACAGCTAGAAGGTTGCTGGTTCGCGTCCCGGTGGGGGCACCGGAATCTTTCTGTGTGGAGTCTCCATGTTCTCCCCGTGCATTGTGGGTTCTCTCCGGGTTCTCCGGCTTCCTCCAGAAACATGTTGAGGTTAATTGGTGATTCTAAATTGTCCGTAGGTGTGAATGTGAGTGTGCTTGGTTGTCTGTCTCTAAGTGTAGCCCTGTGATAGACTGGTTACCTGTCCAGGTGAACCTGCCTTCAGTCAGCTGGGAGAGACTCCAGCCCCCCGTGACCTTAGTGAGGACTAAGTGAGTTGGCACTGGGCCCAATTAACTTAAGCTGCCGATATGTTTCGTAACGTTAGCCGGATATCGATATTTTACGAATGTCTATTTGACTTGTAAAATCTATTCTGAGTTATCTTAACCTAATAAGTCTACCTTTCCTCCGATAAGTCGCTGCCCTATTCTCCAGGACGACCCTCCTCTGAGTCTCTGTATTTATTTTTTTTTGATGCTCCAAACATTTGTACGACTGGCAGCTGAATGTTGCGGGAAGGTGAACGACACCAAACCTGCTACATCCGCTGACCTGGAGCCTGGTGCTGGACGTGACGTCACTTTCAAGGCTCTCGCGAGTAATTAACGTCGCGTTAACCCCAAAGAGTAGAGACTGAGCAAGATGGTTATCTGGAGTTTACCTCAGTACTCGTGGGTACCTGATCCAGTGCAGGAGGAAGATGGAGTATTTGCGACAATAAATTGTCAATTTTTTTTTTTCATTTTTACTATTTTTTGCAGTTTAAAAACCTGGAGATGTAGAATAAAAGTGGTTAAGATATTAAGCACCTAACCTCACACCTAGTGAAGCAGTAGTTGAAACCATCATTGCAGTATTTTAAGGTGGAAAATTGAAAGACACATTGTGGGACATTGTTGTTGGACTTTTGATGTGTGGTTTCAATCCAGATTTTTCAGACAATTTTGATGTTAAAACTGCATCGGGCACATTTTATGCACCAGGAAGCATAAAAAAAAAATCTATCCAGCAGCAGTATGAGTAATGTACAGAGACCGTCTGGTGACATCGATAAGAAATAAAAAAATAACTCATCCCCATGCATTAGTAAATCGTGGCCACGTGTTATTAATGTGTGGGAACGACATAGTGAAGTCGTGGCCTCGCATTACTAACATGAAGAAACAAGAGAAGTTGTGGAGCACAGAGCGGTCACACCAGCTGTCCATTAAGGATAACTTGCATGAAACATGGAGCATTTTGATTTGACTTCATTTTATTTTAACCTTGGAATGAACTACACCGATATCCTGCCATCTCTTAAGATGAAACAACGTGTGATAATTATGTCGTTCCCACGCATTAATATCTCGTGGCCACGATTTACTGATGCGTGGGAACGAGTTATTTTTATTTCTCATCGATGTCACCAGACGGGCTCCGTAGTAATGTGATGTGAAGTTGAGTTTAAAGTTTATTGTTCATTGTCCGTGAAAAAAAATCAGGATTTTAGTGCACGCTGACGTCTATATGATGAGTTTCTAGTTGTTGTTAGTCATGACGTCACACACGTTAAGAAACACAAACTTCATGTTTTGTGAATTTTTATTATACAATGAACACATGCTGTCCAGAATAAATTCACAAATGAATTAATACCAAATTAACTGGTTCACAGTTGTGTAAACTAAGTGTTGGCTGATAAAAGCCAGTATTTCTTCCAGTATTTCGTTCCACGACGCAGCGCAGAACGCAACACAAAACGCATCAAACGATGTCAGTTATGTGAAAGCCGTTGTTCGGTTGCCTCATACGATATGGCTCTCTGATCAGAACCAGTCATTGTGCTACAATGTCAACAACATGATGAGATTCATTTTTATAAGCACATAACAAATACATTTTCTCCATTAAACTTTGCTTATAATTAATGTTTTTTTTTTGTTTTTGTTCTTTGCATTCAGGCATTTGCCCAATTTGCTCTTAATATTGCTATTATAATACACCACATATAGCCTCTGTTGAGGTAAATAGCTTGTAGTAGTTGAGGGGCTTCCATGGTCAACATGTTCTTGAGATGTTCTTGCAGAACAGAGGAACACTACCTGTGGTACATGTTGACCTGGGTGGGTGTCAGGACTAAACGGGCCTCTTCATCGCTCCAGAGCAATGCATGTCCTTATGATTATTGAGAAAAAAGTCCCACCGAGCCGGAGCCTCTCAGCAGTAGGTGGAATCTTGCTTTCCATGCAGGAGATTGGATTAGAAGCACAACAGTGGGCTGTTGTCACCGTGCGACGAGGGCGGCGCTCTTTAATGGCCACCGAGACTCCGCTTCTCTCCACTCATCCAGTCCAGCGCGATGAATGTCAGGCTCATGGTCATGAATATGAAACCCAGTGCGGTGAAACATGCAGCCTAAAAACAGCGACACGTCAGTAAAGCAACACTACGCTTTACACTTCTGGCTGTTGTATTCATGGTCTTAATACTTTCTTTAACTCTGTAGCTGACTTTTAAATGCTTTCCCTTTCGGTTGGGCAGGAACAAGAACCTACTTGGATCTTTGGCCTGGAGTTCATGGGTTCCTGGTTGGTCGGGATGATGCGAATGTAGAACAGTCCAGGAAGGATGAAGATCAAGGTGGGAGCAGTGGTCGCCCCTGGACACAGAGAAGAGGCACAGCAGCTGACAACATCTTTCCTTAAACAAAACTGTTGAAACAAATGAGCTGAAACAAATGAAAGATCTTTACACTGCTGAAGCTCCAGCTCGTACTTACATTGTCTGAGCGTTTCTTACAGATATGTGTGCAGTCAAAGAAAATGTTGCTCTTCATTCTCAAGTACTGCAATATTCATATTGTCAAGGCTTTTGGTCTTATTTTCCATTGGCTTCCTGTTTTATTTTGAAAATGTCTTTGCTTGTGTGTCACTTGTGTTTTCACTTTGTCTGTTTCCCTTTTCTTCCTCATTGTACCTGTCTCGTGAGTCTCCAATCAGTTTTTAGTGTATAAACAGTCTTGACTTTCCCTCTGTCTTGTCTGTTGAGCATAGTTATGGTAAAATCTGAGTTTCACAAGAGGACCTGCGTTGTGCTGGGACAAAGATATTTGTGAAATGTTGTCTTGACATTTCAAACCCTTTCCGAGACTTTTATTTATTTATTTTTTAAACTGCCCATCAACCCACTTTTTTTTTTTTTTTTTAAGCTAAACAACAATATCTCAGGAATTGTTTAAGATGAAAGCCTGAAATTTTCACAGTTTCTCATCATGTCATTAATTTATTATCTGCAATATTGGACAAGCAGATTAAACAAGCTGTAATTATTGGTTAAGTCTGTGACCACACATCACAGCAAACACAAAAAAACTGATAATGCAAGAAGTCAGCTAGTGATATTTTCTGAACCACGTGCACAATAATACAAACATTTGTGAATTTATTGTGGTACAATTTGTCAGACCTGCTCAACCAGTTATGAAAGTTTTTATGAAATTACTTCTTTTTCCCCCCAACATGCAGCTGCTCAACTCACTGAGACTATTTGATCTATTTGTGCAACACTGCAGGTTCTGACTCTACGGCACAATAAAAATGTAATAAAATGTTTTAATCTTGAACAGTTCCTGAGATGTTCTTGTTCAAACATAGCAGCAAATTTCAATGTATAAAAAAAAAAAATCTGCTGAAAGTGCGTCAGCGGGCAGCTTCTAAAAGTTTTAAAGTGTTTTATAAATGAAGCAAATACTTAACAGATGCCATTTTAAATATCCATAGTCCATGGTCGAGCAAAAGGCCCCTGATGTTTGAGCTGGAATGAGTCGTCACTTGTACAGCTTGCAACTATAATATCCTACCAGTAATGCCGAAGATGTCTCGGATGTTGGGGACGAGGATGACCAGCAGGTTGACAGCAAACAGCAGACAAACAGCGATGGCGATGTGTCGGAGCCAGTGGAAGGGCTTTCCTGGAAACAGCAGCTGCAAGAGGGCACGACGGATCTGACAGGAGCACAGACAGAAGGACACGTGGTGCTGCTCAGGTCCCACAACAAGTCAGCGTTTAATAAAAAAAAAACACCAAAATGCAGAAGAACTACAGTCGTCCTCAGATGTATTCATCCATGAAAGAAAAGGCAAAATTCACAACAGTCACTCAAATAACTAGAAACTGAAAAAAGTACTAATAAATAAAAATTTGCGAAATTATAATTTCCTGAAATAAGACATTGCTTTTGAGTTGTGGTTGAAAAGAATAATTTAAAAAAATAAAAACACAAAAAACCTGTCTTGGACAAATTAGAGCACTTTGCTGATGAGCAGTGAAATTAAAATACCTGTCAACAGGGAACCGCAATTCAAAAGCAATGTCATGATTTTCATTAAATTTTTATTTATTATTACTTTTGTCAACTTCAACTTATTTTAACTGTTTTTTTTCCTTCTTTAATGGGAGGGTGTGAATACATCTGAGGACGACTGTATGTATCAGGAACAGGAGAACTGTTTGATATGTAAACACAGCTCATGTGTTCATGCATTTTATCAGTAATGTTGACAATAAAAACTAAAGTTATTTCAGTTATTGAATACATTAGAGTTCTACAAAGCTCAGTGTCCAAGTCTGTGTCCGAAATCTCCCACCACACCCTACACAGTGCATCCTGTAGGATCGTAGCTACTGGACCTGCTTGAGTTCCTTGAAGACGTTCCACCTCTCATCCAAGAGGCTTCATCAGTTCTGAGAGGTGAAACGTCTTCAAGGATAACCAGGATAACCGTGACCTGGATGACTGAGAATCTTCACAGACGTCATACAGGGTGTTTGTATGTGGTGCACTCGAAATATCCCACAATGCACCTTGAAAAGTAGCGTACAACCGATGGTCCCTAACCAGCAACATGGACCATCATGCAACGGAAACTGGACGAACGAGAGCACTTGTCGTTAAAATGTTGGTAATTTTTACCCGTTCCTTAGCTGTGCAATAAACTGTGAATTTGATGTGTTTGTACTTCACTGCTACGGCACAAACGACGGCTAGCGAGCGACGTAATAATAGCTTTAGTAGTGTCGAGGTGCTCCCTACATAGTTCACTACATAGTGGTCCTGAGACAGTGAGGAGGAAGCGAGTGGATGACTTCGGAGACGGCCCAAGTTCATCTTCACCCAGAGTTCCAGGATCTCTGACTGGATGTTTCTCTCTGCAGTCCCTTCTGGGATTGTTGTCTTTTGTTGTCGTTACCAAGAGGACTACAACACTTTTAAGGGTTGAAGGGCTTTTTTCTTCACAGTGTTTCATTTTTTGCATTCATGATTCATGTTCTTACAGGAAACAAGACCACGGGTACAGTCAGAGTGACGGCCACCAGGACAGCCAGCCGCACACAGAGGATCAGAGTGTCCAGGGGGTCCACCTTGTTGTAGGTGTGGAGGAGCTCGGCTTCAGTGTTTTCTGTTCACACACACACACAAAGCCACAGTGTTTCCATTACTTTAATAATATAATAATAATAATAATATCTTTATTTATAGAGCACTTTTCATACAAAGATGTAGCTCAAAGTGCTTTCCAATTTAAAAACATAAAACAAACAAAAACAAAACACGCACATATAAACCCACGTACTTGCCCCCACGCACACACAATCACCCACAGAACCACATACACTATAATAATGACAATATATACTATAAAAAAGAGCATGGCAGGGCACTGAGGAACCATGTGAGGAAAAGCAACCTATGGGGAGCTCATCCACACTGAGAGGGATCACAGTCCAAAGCCACGGGGAGGGTCACCGCCACAGAGACCCCCGGCCCAGAAGGACTGGGGTGGTTGGACTCCACATAGTCCTCCGGGCCTGAGGGGTCTCCAGGATGACCCCCCCGCGGGCAGACCAGCCACACCTTCCAGTGTGGAGGCCCCCCATGAGGAAACACTGGAGCTAAAAATAGTGTAGAACTAAAAGCTAAAAGACATTAGAATAAAATGAGCTAAAAACTAAAAGACATTAGAATAAAATGAGCTAAAAACTAAACGACATTGGAATAAAAGAGTTAAAAGCCAGGCCTAAATTAAGAAAGTAAACGAATCAGTTAAAAGCTAAACTAAAAAGGTATGTCTTGAGCCTTCTTTTGAAAACATCAACAGTCTCTGCGGTCCTGATGTCCTCTGGCAGGCTATTCCATCGCTGGGGACCATAATGGCTGAATGCAGCGTCCCCGTGGGTTTTTGTTTTAGCTCTTGGAATAGTTAAAAGGCCGGTGCCAGAGGACCTTAGGATCCGCGAGGGTTGATTAGAAGGTGTTACGTTGACCGAGGCTACTTCCCCACTAAAATGTTTTTTCATTTTAAAACCCAAATCTTCTGCTAAAATGGTTCCCCAGACTTGACATGCAGCGGTTTTCTAGAAGACTACCAGTGGTTAATTCTACATGGACAATGACTACAGAAGGCTGCTAGCAGCTATTGTGCAGTTAATAGACTCTCTGTTGCTACTTTCCACCATTGCCGTTCTAGGTCCGCAGTACTTTCTACAACGAAACAACCAGCACCCACCTTCATGTTCACGCTGGCACTGACCCAGTGTACATAAACAGACCTGTGGGATGCGTTTTCAGGTGTGTTAGTATGCACCAAGGTTATTTCTGAAACGGCTAAAAGGCTAATCTAAGAAGTGTTTGTTTGCAGTAATTCCCCTGATACCTATCCTTACCCTAACCACTACTTTTCTAACCACAAACCCTTACATTAACCCTAAACCAATCCGTCCCCACTATGCCAATGTACAGAAAGATTTCGACAACATAAACAGCACAAGTAAACATACAAACACACACATGCAGATATAGAACATGGGACACCTCACTGTCATAAAACTTTGCTATGTTTTGCAGCTGACTTAAAGAATTGTTGCTCTCACCGTAGAAGGTCAGATACCCAAATATGGCAGTGAAGAAGTACATGGTGAACATGCCCAAGATGGAAACATTGCCAATATTCTGCATTCTTCTCTTGGTTGGGCTTTAGGAGAACAACATAACAGATGTTTTAAGCACAGAAAAAGATACACACCAATTTTGCCATAATGCTAAAACTGTTTTACGTCTGATAAGTCAGACATTTTCAGGTGTACTTATGTTGTATGACGTCCAAATGAGTTGGCTTAGACAATCTGAAGAACATGTTCATTTGAGGGCTTCAGTGCCAAAGCAGGTCAAACTACAACAAATCCAAAGTTGAGTTTTATGTTTTTTTCACAAGTGTTCACGGTCTACTAGTTCGTGGCAAAGTGGTCCAACCAACAGCCCACTAGTAATGTCACAATGCCACTTTGAAGCTTGGCCCATAATGGGTTCAGCGGGTAGTTGCTGTTTAGCAAGACAAACTTCGAAGCAGCTTTTTTCTGAGAAGTAGAAAATGCCAAGTCATCACAAAGCAGCTGTTTCTATCTCTGGACAGTGTTGAAACATCTTTAGATGCATGTAATAACTCCTCCAACAACCAGGATTATTTTTAGCAACACAAAATTTCGACCCCATTTTGCTCTAAAACTAGTAAACGTGGTTCGGCCCACTTTGGCACTGAACCCCCTCATTTGTTTCCAACTTGTCTGATGGTTTGACTGCTTGTGTTTCTGCACCTGTCTGACGTCTTTTGCCTGACCAAGACCAGAAAAATTTAATGTTTGTTGCATATGTACTGTGGAAGTGCACAGTGCATGTGACGAGTGTAGCAATCGGACATTGTGTGCATCTTACTTGCTTAGTTCAGTATAAATGGGAAGCACTTCAGGATGACATACAAAAGCAAACGCCAGGATGGGGATGGTGTATGCCGTCTGCAAATCAAGCAACAGAAGAACATCACTTGGTGGTTTTCCAGACACAGCATTGACCGTCAACATGTCCAGCTGCTGTGCTGCACAACATGGTGCACCCACAAACATGTCCTGACCATGCATGTCTACAGATCACACCTCAGTCACAAAGGAACCATAAATGAAAAGTTCAAATACAGTTTTTAAGGTTGTTTGAAATGCAAGAAATTCATCTCTGACCTCTTGGTTGATGGTGAAAAATTTGGCGGTGCACGTGTCCTCTGGGATTTCTGCGTTCATTGAGAAGTTGCCAAACACTTCGAGAGGGCAAGCGATGTTGAACCTCTTGTAGATAACCTGATGTGAAAGAGGAAGACAGTCCGATGATGTGGAGTCTACCCTTATGTACCTTTTGGTAGTTTTTGGTACATTCCCAAAAGAAACAAGCTGCACACTAGAGTTTGTACATGAGAGTGTAAATCAATGATGCCAACAGAGGCCAACATTGGAAGGAATAAACCTGGAGACACGAACAGGATCAAACTAAAAGGAGGTACAAACAAAAACCTATTCCATCAGAACAACTGGGACCATTCTTTTATCAAGTAAGAATATTGCAAATGAAGGCTTTTTCAAATTGATCTTATTTAACATATTGAACACTCTAAAGGTGGATCGTTGGACTTGCACATCCCTCAGATAGCATTACCATCATTTAGAGATGTAGCAGTCAGATTTTTTCTCTGTTGTTTTAGCTCGACTGTCGTCTCCACAAACACCTGGAAACATCTCTTTAGCCGGTAAATTCTCCACTATGGATGCCAGTTAGTCTGTAGCTGTGTCTGCTCTGACATTGTAGACAGTCATTAAACACTTAAGCACTCCTGTATTGTCATAAAGTTATGCGTTGTACAAACTCACCGCAGAAAGGAAGAACACCATGCAGGAGAGAGAGAAGCCACTTGTATAACCAAGATACCCTGCAGGATGCAAGAAAGCTACCCTTAGACAAATCATCTAAATACATATAGACCCCAAACTAAGTGGGGCTGACTTCCTAATTAAAGGTATTATGTGGTTGAGGGGGAGGGACGTACCCAGGTGCTTCATCATGGCCAGCGGGAGGATGATGCCAGCAGTGACAATGATAATGAGGTAGTTTCCGTTCATAAACCAGTCTCTAGATGTGGAACACGAAACGTCACAGACACATAAAATAAGTGCATAAACTGGATAAAGTTGTGTTATTCAGTTCTATTCTGAAATGACAGTTTCTGGTCTGTTCAGGGCGCAGAAGTTTAAATACAGTTTTCTTTTTACCAAACCATAGACAGTCTATTTATTATGTTGTTGTTACTACTGTTGCTGTGGTTTGCCGTCTCCTGCAGGATCACCACCTAAACTTCAGTGATGTATGAGACGGATGCTGCAATTTGTAGTCCGATAGTGTCCTTCTGCACTAGTTAGGATAACAGCATGTTGCTACAATAAGCTTGTCAGTGTTTAAACACCCTGCAGCAGTCTTTCTATTCCTGCAGATCATTTTTGCAGTGAGTGCAGGAAGGAAAAAAATCCGGCTTTACTGGGACAACTACAGGGACATTTCTGGCACAGCAGTTAGTAAATAGGGTCCATTTTGGCACAATGGCATTTTGGTAAATATGCTTCTTTGCATTCCCTGGACTCATATAAGAAGAATGCTATTATTTTGTCCACCATAAGGGCAGGACTGTAGAGATTCTGCATATAATCACTGTCCACAAAGAAGTAGTCCAGATGGTAAATACTTAACTCACGACACTTGCATATTTGAGGATTTATGACAAAGAGGTTTCAGCATCACCACTGATAACTAACTTGGTTTTCATGACTTCGGATTTGACTTGAGACAGATTACTTAAAAGGACTTGTTTTTTTTAATTACATGTGCCCGTTAGGAGGTATCAAGAAAGAACGCTCTGATTTTGAAACATGAATGAAGGACTTCTGGTGCAATATGTGCAGACCTGACAGACTAAGAGGACAGGGATGGAGCTGTAAAGTAATTAAAGTTGGATACAAAGAATATGTTGATGATGAGCGTAGTCAAAAGGGAACAACTTAATGCAAATTCACCCCGCATCCTTACTCTGAGTCTACTTTCCCACCACTGAGGAGATCAATAAGATGACATAGGATACGGTAAATGTTCAATAACCTCACACCAGGGAAATTTGAAGCGTTACAGTAATGCTGAGATAGTGTTTCCTGGTTGGGAGTGCTGGGTCAGACCCTTGACACCATAAATACTCCCCAATACTCCCATTCAAGACTGTTTCCTTGTGTTCATTCAACCTGTTCTTTATCTCCCTACTGTGGGCTCCACTTTGAGCAGGTGGAACAGTTGGGTTTATGCAAACTACATTGAGATGGCTTGTGTTGTGATGTGGCACTTTGTAAATCAGTCAAATTCATTTGAGTTGAATTTCAACGATGTCGGCAGTACTCACTCAGAGCTGGATGTCTGGCTAAGAAAGGCTTGGATGACCAGGGGTAGCTCGTATTTTACTATGAACAGGTAGCTGGACATGGCTGCAGGGGAGGAAAACACATTTGTTCATGTGCAGTACACGGCGACATGAATTGACATGTTCAACAGTGGTGTTGGGATATTTGGTTCCCATTCAGTATCGCGACCACAAACCTAAATGACGTGATGTTTGCCAACATACACCAGTGCCTTACCTCCAATGTTATGTAGTGTTATGACGACGGCTGCCAGAATCTTCCCTGCATGACCAAAAGCTCTGAAGCCAAGTTGTTCATAAGCGCGGATACCTGACGAGACCAATAACAAACAACTACGTTAACAAGCTGCTGTTGGACATTAGGACGGTGTCTGGATGTCTGACGTGACAGTTTTATTTGCATGCAAGTAAAGAGACAAAGAGACCGGACTCTATAGTTTATGAGGCCTTACCCACGACTCCGGCACTGCGTAGCAGCAGGTGGACTGAATAACAAGACAGACAGGCGATACATGTCAGCAAGATCCTGTAAAACACAGGCACAAAATCATTCGTTAGTCATTTCTTACGTGTTTATCATCTCTTTGTGTTTTGTGCCCTACAGATAATTCAGAATGGCTGCTTCTCCTTTACACAGAAAGTAATTAGTGCAGCGTTTGTTTTTAGCAACTCACAGGCCTTGCTTTTTCCATACGACACTGGAGCGGCCACTTCTATGCATAGTCTGTCATTTCTGGTTCTAGGGTTTCTCAATATGGTGTATATTAAATAGGGTCAATAGGGTGTATAGATAATGGATGGATGGGTTCCTGATGTTCAGCAATAAACATTATACCCAAATTAATACTGTCAACAACGTACAGGGACAGAATGACATCACTGCGTTGTTGGTTCAGCAACGTTCAGTATGAGCTCTGCCAATGAGAAACGATCACCTTCAGTTCTAATCTTTTCTTAGAGCTTTTGAAAACTGTGTAGAAGGAAAAACCAGTAACTGGAGTGACTGCTTGCACCTCTCAGGGGAGTACACCAGGGGTCAGCCTATCTGAGAGGCAGCATGTCAGCAACAGGGAGACAAATCCTCCTTTAAATATAGATCGATGCATATATAGTAATATTATGTGGTAATACACCAGCACAAATAACACAAGTATAAATATACAAATATATATATCTACAGTGCTTAACAAATTTACTAGACCACCTGTCTCATTGGTTAACACTGTATTTATATATTTATAGACGGCCCAGCAGCATGAAGTGCTTTAATTCTCACTCAGCTCTCCATGTTTTATCATTTTGAACAGGAATGAGGAATTTCAAACTGAATTAATCTTTTCATACCCAAATCTGAGCCACTGGGCTTCTCTGAGAAATGAATCAAGCATCACATTCAACCACTAAAACTCATTTTTCTGTTCAGGAATGCAAGTAAATAACTAGAATTTGACATCTTAGTGAAGAAATAATAATAATGTGCTTCACAATTTTTTCAGATAATAATAAAAATTAGATTTTAGCATTAAAAAAATCCATGTATCCATCCATCATCTAAACACCACTTCATACTTAATGCTTAATATGATGTAGGTAATTACCAAAGCTGTTAATTTAGGGCAGCTGTAGCATAAACCTGACACTGGGTGGTGGTCTGATACGTTTGTTAAGTTCTGTATATACATATTTAGTATATTTTGTCCAGTTATAGTACATTCATTTGCTACATTTGGTGCATGCAGCAGCCGACTGTTGAGCAATATTTAACTTGTCTCCTCCTCTGTGTCTGTTTACCGTCTGTCATTTTCAGGGAACCACTGAGGACGAGAACACGTGTGTTTGTTTGTGTGTGTACATCACATTCAGGTGTACTCTGTACCAAGAGGGGTGTGTGTGTGTTTGGTTTTTTGTACTCACAGGAAGAGAACGATGCCAGTGTTTGACATGGCATAGGACAGGCCCAGGATGCCACTGCCCATGATTGCATTGCTCAGGTTGAAAACCGACATCCCAAAAGAGGTTTTACCCTCAAACTGGAAAAGATACGATTGGAATATTATATTTTTCATTAAATAGCATCCAGGACATGGTGATATTTTTTATTATCCTGCTGAGAAATCATGTGATTATATCTCTGAGAATATTTATTTCTTGAAAATCCTCAGAGTACGACCTTTGAAGCTGCGATTACAGCCTTGTATGTATGGCACTAAATGATAGTTTCATGCATACAAAGCTGGGACAAACAGGGAAAATTCAAACCATGTAACAAACACCTTATAAATGCTGAGTGGTCCTGTCCATAACATTTCCGGTTTAGTTATCGCCGCCCTGTGTGTTTGTGTGGTTCATGGATCACTACACTATCTTCGCAGAGGTTTCCTCACTTGGTTCACATCCTGAGTCACACACCTGAACTCTGGTGCTAGATTTATCAAAAAGCTGGCCTCCGACACATGATAGCTGGGTATGTTCTTTTGTAATACTCATTCTATCTGGATGATGCGTGTGTTCTGTCCTTTCATAGCGCGAGATGACGATAAAATTGGCTTGAGATTTGTAGGGCACTGCTATAAGAGATGCTGCTTTTGGTTAGAGCCAAGGTAAGCATTTATTGCACATATTAAAACTAAATAAACAAAAATAAAACAGAATGGCAGCTGATCTGTGGTTGCTGCTAGACTTCAACCATATAATAGACAAAAGAGAAATTAGACTTGATGTTGGAGCCGGTTTAGCTCTTTGTTTACAAGCCTGCACGTCCAACAGAAAAAGAAAATGCAGAAAAAATGGTGGCTCAATATATTGTAGATATTTGACCTCCTTTTTATTTTATTTTATTTATTTTACGTTACTCTACACGTCAACTCTGGAAAGATATTTCACCATCTTGAATGTAGCTTCCAACAACTTGCTGACTTCTTGCTTCTTTTTATACAGTTTTTGCACCAGGCTGTATTTGTTTTATTGCCCAGTTATGATTTATATTGATCCCAATCGCTCTCATTTGTTCACATCCTTTTTTTTCCTCTCTGCTCCGTGTCAGCACTGCCTGCAGTTCAGCCCAACAGTCCGTTACATTTTTGTTAGTCACAGCCGGGACGTGACTTTTTAAATGAATCATATTGAATAAAGCAGCTTTAGATTTGGTTAACTGTCCGTTAACAGAACTGCACACATTCAGTTCATGCCTGGCGCTCACAAATGTTTTAAAACATCACCGGCCTTTTGAACCCACCAGGTTAATTTATTTAAATATACATTTAAATTCATGCAGTGTCTATGGTAACAGACCAACAGGCCTCAGCTTCTCTCACTCACATCTGTGAACTGGGGTCTTTTTGAAGCATCATCTTTGTGCTGCAGGAACTTTTCTTCTTCCTCTGATGGGGCTCTGCAATATCACAAACATTAAAAATAATAACATGAAAAAGCTCCACGATTTAAAAACATGAGCATATTTGAATTATCATGAATTTACATTTTGTCAACAGACAACTTACCCTCCCTCCACGGGCACAGTAGCGTCATGGTGATTACCGTTCGATAGCTTCTGCAGTTCCATACGTGTGACAGGTTCAGGAGCCCGACGTCCTTCTTCAGGTCGATGGAAAGTGTCAAATGATTAATAAGGTGTCGCAAAGTAAATCTGAAAAAGAAAAAACAATGCAATGTCGGTTGGTTAGTTGTTTAGCAGCCAAAGGCACCAGTGTTTTGTTGTTAAGACCAAAAGCGAAGCTAAAAGACTTTAAATTTGAACTTAAATTCATAATGATGACGCACGAAAAAAGACTATTAGCTGTGTAGGCATTTATCTGCTAACATGTTCTCAAAAGACTCAGTTTATATCTTGTCCTGTTGCCCTTTTAAAGAAAAAAATACATCATCTACAGTTTTCTCTATCCTCATCTCGCCTGACGATGCCTGATATTAACTGATGAAGATACTTTTGATTAACAGCAGAGCTACAACAGACAATGACACCTTTACTACTTATTACTGTAATGAATTTCACGATACATCTTGATCTCCCACATTCAGAGCAGAATCCACTCTCTGTGTCTTTAATGTCTGATTTATCAAACAGCATTCAGTGTCAGGGGGAGACAAGGTGAGTTCATCATCGACACTGAAGCCTTCGTCACCAGTATGTGTGTTTCTAAGTGCACCCATGAAGACTGTATGATGTAGAAATGGACATCTAATTGTATTTCCTCTAAAACCTTTGTTTTTTCACACCATTTTTTAAAAGAAAAGTTTCAGTTTTCAGTGTCGGACCTGTAGACATGTAACTGATGCTGGTGTATGAACCAACTTTATGGACAGAATCCATTGTAAGTTACGACGATGCCAGATGCCAATACAATGCAGAGCGCCCTTAATGCTACCACAACACAGGTGGATAATGTTGTTGCAGCCTCACTGCGTACAATATTTGACACTGGTGCCCTTCTGAAAAAGACCGCAATGAATCAGAGACAAGACAAGCTTGTGGGTCTCATTTACACATGTGCACTTCAAAGTAAACGTCACTGCTCAAAGGTCCTCCAGTGTGCTTTCCACCGGGCGTTATCGCTTCCTCTCACAGTCTGACAACATGCTGGTTGTCTCTTTGTGTTGGCTCGTGATGGACTGGTGACCAGCTGTGGGTGTACTCTGCCTTTCGCCCTAAGTCAGCTAAGATAGTCTCCAGCCTCTCTGCAACCCCCCACAAACAAAACACAGGAAATGGATGAATCGATGGAAAGGCAGTGAGTGTTCTACTAGTTTAGAAACACTTTGCTGCCTCGTCTTCCTCCTGCCTCCCATCTGATTACATTCCTCAATCAGCTGTCCACCAACATCTGAGAAGTGCCGCTACCGATCACCTGCCTGCCCCCGTCACATGGGCACCATTGGCCTCCCAGCTCGACACACTAGCCCTCGCCTCTTCAGAGTCTGATTGCTCTGATGAGACTAAATAGCATAGCCAAGCCATGAGTCCCTGATTGTAGCTCTGTTTTCTTATTGATTGATTCCTGTTTTCTGGATCAGTGATTGTAGCCTTAAGGTGTGTCCGTTAGAGCAGAGTTGTCATTGAATAGTTTGATTCTGTTTGGGTTCATGAGGCCACAAGTGTGCTCAACTTGTAGAAGTTGTTCAGGCTTTTGCCCGCTAGCATGTTGCTAACCCTGTTTCCAAACACTTTGCTTTCAAATTCGTGTTTGCACCTGGGTTCCCTGAATAGCTGTGACAAAAAGAACCATCCCAGGTTTCTTCATAGCGCTGCAGCCTGGCTGACGGAGTGGCAGGTCTGATGATCCCTGTGTTCCTTTAGCTCTCAGTAGTTCTGACTTCAAGGGCGTCTTCACAAATAAAATTCCAACATTTAGAGAAACTAAACCGTCGTCACGCCCTTCTCACAACTGCTCATCAAGTGCCATAGCTTTGGAGGTATCTGTGAAACCTGGTAAACCTATAGATCTTTTTGTTGCAATGTCCGTGGTTGCTTTATCTAAACCAGCAAAATGTCTGTTGGACCCCATCCTACCTAGAATACTCCAGGATGTTTTACCCTTAATTAATTCCTCCATATTAGATCTGATCAACAGGGTCAATCAAACCTCTACTTAACAAAAGCTTACCCTTTGATCCAGGTGTTGTAGCCAACTATAGGCCTAAATCCAACCTCCCTTTATTTCTAAAGTCCTATTTGTAGAGTAGTCCAAGCACACAAAAGGTAGTTTTGAAGTTCCACAGGATTCTGTGCTGGGACTGATACAATTCACCTGGCACATGCTGCCCCTTTGGCAAGACTAGTAGGATGCTATGCAGACGACACACAACTATGTTCATCTATGAAACTTGATGAAAAAAATCAGTCGAACCACAAGCATGTCTTAACCCTTTATAGGGCGCTCATTGAAATACTTGGAAATTTAACATTTCAACCCTGGAGTGTTATTGGTAGATATAAGAGGACAGTTTTTGATTGGACCTTCATTGATTGACTGGATGAAGTCCCGTGATTCTGCCTCCTGCCATTTGTAAAGCCCATGTATGGTTCCTTGTCCCGTAAGGGTTAAAGACACAAACACCTCAGAGAGACACTGTCTAATGCCACGGATTCTCTGGACAGCAATGGACGGGGCTGTTTAAAAGCAGCGTCAAATAAATATGACCTGGCACAGGTGTAGTTAGAACCTACTGCTGTATTTTATGATCTCTGTCAGATGAACAGAACAGACTCAACAATAACTTACAGTATATATTTACTTATAATTCAAGTCACAACGTGTGGCAAATGTATGGATATCATATATTACGTTTTAGTTTAATACACAGTTCAATTGCTGTGGTGTTCATGGTTTATTGGTGCAGCTTTTCATTTGTCTATTTCTTTATCCTTCTTTAACAGACCACTGGTCAAACAAAACAAGCAACATGAAACCAGGACGTAGGCTCATCTTGGAAAGTTGAGATTCAATTTATAATTCAATTAAGTTTGATTTATATAGCACAATTCACAACATATGTCATCCTACAGCACACTGTACGATGAAGACCTCACGAATTTTGAACAGAGAACCCAACAATCCAAAGTTGCCTTTGGACTCCCTCTAGGTGCTTATGTACACAGCAGTTTGAGCATTATTGTAATTTCTGATGAATGCTGTAGCAAAATCCATTTTGTTGTCATTTTTGTGTTGTCCTGATGAACATATGTTAGATATTGACCAGTTGAATCCAGTTTCCTGCAAGTACTTGAACTCAGACTTAGAACCAGATAGATGAGAGCGCTGAGGGTGTCCCAAAACAAGCAAAGAGCTGAAAGAGTCTGAGTGACACTTAACCCTTACATTTGACAGTATGGTTTGGGTCTACAGCTCTATTTAGAATGTCTAAATAGCCCATGTCACACTAATAAATAAACAAATACACAGCAAACATGGTCTGTACAGTTTCACAGTTTCAAGATCCCCTAAAGCCACCATTTTCCTTGGTTTGTTCCACACCAGTAGATCTAAGATCCAAGATCTCAATGGATATACGGGTCAAGTTTGACCCCAAACAGTCTCACTGTACAAACATTTGAGGCACCTGTACAAAAGTATAACATTTTAAAATATTTTCATTTTCGTGTCATTTGGATCACTTGTGGAAAACTCTTCAAATTTCAGGCCGAAAGAAGTTTAGCGTGTTTTTACTGCTGTCAAAATGTCAAACGGGTCAAATTTCACCTGAAACGTTACGTAAGGTATAAGGCCACTTCATGCTTTCTGCATCCGAGAGACGGCAAATGTACACATGACGTCACCACCGAAGTCCACAGCGGCTTTTAGCAGACGCCTCGTCCACGTGCGGTCCAAATTTGTGACCGTGCAAACTGACTGCGAGCTCACATGTGCCAGGGAAACAAATGTTGTAACTGAGGGAGTTGCGGTTTCACATAAAGGCTGATTTGTTCCCAAACACAGCAGCAACTTGCAAATTCTCCAGAAGTCCGGTACTGTCTCCTCCCTAAGCAGTTTGTATATTCTTCCTTGCAAAATAAAAATGAAACAATGAAATGACTGGGCTGAAACTCCAGCCGGAAATGTGATATATTAGAATAAAATTTTGTATTGGTGGGCCGAAATATTCCCTCAACCCCAGTGAAAGGCAACGTGGCTCTGATAAGAGGCTGGAAAGAAGCCAAGTCTAGACAGCTTCAGTTGTGGCTATCTGTTCCCTGTAGGCCTCAGTCATGACAGACGGAGTGATAACAGCTGAAAATGACCTCTCTGCTCAAACATGACTGAGCTGGTTCCTCAGACGTTGACATTTTGTACAGTAGTAGTCACGTGGATTCTATTTGTAAATAATTTCCTACACAGAGGTACGATCTCATGTTGTTTTGAATCATTTATTGGCATTGTTAAAGCTATTCATGTTAGGATTGTTGTAATTAGTGCTCATATAGCTTTGCAAAGTAACTTCCGTACTCTAGAAATTAGTTCATCGATGTGATAGAAATCATCATGTATGCATTTATAAATTTAATAGTTAATAGTTTCAGACCTGATTTGAATTAGTTTTCAGTAAATGTGGATAAATGATGCAGTACACGAATGGTTTTCACCCACATGATCAAATTATAATTTCAATGTCCACCTGCTCGTCCTGTTTGGTGAATATGTTTCACTCCATAGCCATAATCTTGTATTTTAAATGTCCACTGTGAATACTAGGAAAGGTATCAGCAACGGAAGAGCAATAAAAGTCAAACAGTTTCCTCTGGCCGCTGCACCTGACACTATCGGACTTCCTGTGATGCCGATGCACCCACCTATCCTACGCACCAATTAGATTCAAGAGTTTCTTGCCAACGCTTTTTGGCCAAAGAGGTATTTACATGTGTAAACAGAGACGTCTGACCGTGTTGTCGCGTCCTTTCAGTGGGTTGCTGATCAAATATCCAAGGTACCAATTTTCTCACAAAATCCAGGACAAGCCATATATTGAAATGATTAAAACTTGTAAACGTCTGGTCCAACCGGCCTGGAAACCATTTAGTGTAAAACGCATGAACATTATGTTTGAGTTGCTGTCAGATTTATATTCCAAACTTGTTGAGATGACGTACAAACTGGAATAACTTCACTAAACTGAGCAGAGCATGACGGATAAAGAAAAAAAACCTGTGGAAGAAGTATTTGTAGTTTAGGGAGTACTCTCGCTGTCAGTCTTGTGTTTGGATGTTACCTACAGAGCCGTCAGGATGTGGTTAGCTTAGCTTAGCACGAAGATTGCAAGTAAAGTGAAACCGTCTGGTTAAAGTTTAATAACCTAACCCTCTAAAACCCACCGATTGACATATTATATCTTGTTTGTTTAATCTGTAGACAAACCAAACACAAACCCGACGGCCTGCTAGCGCGTCGTGTGGCGGCTCTGCCACCGTTCAGTGTTTGTTTGTGTTTGTTCTTGCTTTTCTCGACAAGTGTTCGTCTGATCTGCTTCACACTTGGTGGCTGTATTTCTGGGAACCCAAGAAGAAATGTTCCTAAGATATAACCTTAAAGTTGTTTCCTGTGATGACCCCACTGGGCCTTCATCATCATCATCATCATCATCGTCTGGGGAGTCGACACAGTTCACAGCTGTAGCTCGTTCTAAACCCATCATGTATTTTATCACCACTGTTTGTGTAAAATCAACTCCTAAAAGTTGAGATTTTATTATTGATTATTAAGCAGTTAGCATGAACGTTGCTTCCTTCTCGTTGACTCAAAGCTGGGTTCTGTTCTGCCCGAGCAGCAGTGTGTGTTTTCGGTGACGTCCTCCTCGGTATCAGGGGCCACCGACAGCATGTTGACTGTCTGCAGTTCAACAACTAGACTGTGTGTTTGTCACTTCCACTTGAGTCAACAAGTGGAAACGTGACACAAACTGAACGCGTGCCCTGATGCTAAGATATCTTGGACTGTCCCACTATTTCCTTTTTTTTTATTTATTGTGGGGGTTATTTAAAAATAAGCAAACTAATAACAGTTGAGTTTCTGTTTGTCTCTTTAATAGCTGGTTCAGTTAGCGTCAGTTCTGGCTCACGTTTGACATTTACACACATGTGCTCCTCTCACTGAGTGCATCTGTAGATCTCTATGGAGCTGTTTATGACAATCAGCAAGTCTGTTTTCTTTTTTATATTTATGTGTAGTAGGTGGTAAATACTTACATCGTGCCCTGTGATGTTTTTCCCCCCCACACACTTTTTTCATATTCCAGATATATCATAAATATCTTTACAACCTGGACTCACTGCTTATTTTAAAATCCTTAAAATAAAAAAAGGCAGGAATTTAAATGTCACTGTCACACAAAAACTCCACTTCAGTCACAATAACAACAACAATTAGTAGCAAACAGTTAATAAATCAACAAAACTGAGATGACACTGTAATCTCAAGAAGCTTAAGTTCATTTCTAGTAACTTAAGTTACTTTAAATATGTTCACGGACCACAAAAAACTGTCAAGGACCGTTAGAACAAATTGCATCTGGAACACAGCTGCACAGAGCTGCTTTAGTGGCTCTGAGACCCTTCTCAGACCCTCAGAGCCCCTTCCTCCCATGCTCCTTCACTCTTCCTGAGCACACCTTCTCCTGCAGTCAAACCACGTGGCAGCAGAGTAGCTTCAACTCAGCCACAAGTAAAGGAAAGACTTACCTCCAGACGCCGGCCCGGCTGACTGAGGCGGAGGGGATATGCCTGTGTGGTGAACTCCTGGGATCAGAGGTGCAGTTTGGGTTTGGAAGATGGCAATTCTGGCCCGTTTTTTTTTTTTTTTCTTTTTTTTTTCGCAGCCCGGCAGAGAAGCACACAGTGTCTCAGGGAGAGGTTGGGGAGAGGGGAGCAAATGTGGACACAGGCGGTGAGGAGGGAGGGCTGCTGAAAATCAGGGTTTCAGGTTTCCTCTGATGTCACATGCAGAGGCACTCCCCTTCCCCTCCAAAAAAAAAAATAAAAATAAATAATAAATAACTGTCACAAGGCTCTGTGGTGATTTCACACTCAGACTCTGTTGAACTGCCTCCACGTCTGAACTGTCTTAACACTGGTGGAAACATGGTGGAGCGATCGGGTTGCGTAAGAGCCCCCCGGCCGCTGGAAGGGCTCGAGCAAACTGGAAAAAGCTAGCTCTATTAGATCAATGCAGAAATGTTCCACAGAAAGGTAAACACATAATGCTGTAGGGGAGTCTTAGGTGACCTGAGTTCTGCAGCTGATTGGAGCTGTTTGGGAACAGCAGATGGTCCAGGATGCACGCGTTCCCACAGCTATTCTGGTGTGTTGTTTCCACATGAGAGCGAGCTTCCAGCTGAATTCATGTGCGGAGGTTTGAGGCTCTAACCGTGATGCTGGTGTTTCCACACGGGGAGTCTTTTACTGAAAAACCCTGGAGGAACACTTATTTAAAAAGGCAGAAATGGTCGTGGCTTTAAAACCATTTCTCAACCAGGTCTCTACACTTACGGGATGTTTAACAACCACGAGGACTTTTAGAAGTGTAGAGATTCAGAGGTGCTTCTATATTTGTATTCCAGTAAAAGAAACTAAATAAGAATAAAACAGACGTTCTTCAGCACAAATGAAGTAAAGCTTCAATACAGCCTTTTAGCGACAGAGCCTTTGAGGGCTACTTTAGTGGTTTAGCGTTCTACTTCCACTGCTCTGAGCCAAAAGATCAGATCAAGAGATATCCAGACTTCTAGTTCCCATGTCCAACAACACAGTCGCCACAACTTCTAAGTGGCATGTGGACGCCTTCATTCATTCGTTCTTTTCTTTAATCACTTCCTTGTGCACTTCTCCAACTCAACACATAAGTTACACGGTAAAAAACACACATTTTATGGGTCGCCGCTTTGGCTCACCTGGCGACCCATGTACAGGGGCTATAGTCTCCAATGCAGCGGTCATGGGTTCGAATCCCGCTCATGGCCCTTTGCTGCAACCCCTTCCCCCATTCTCCTGTTTCTCTTTCAACTGTCCTATCCAATAAAGGCAAAAAGGCCCAAAAATAACTAAAAAAAACACACATTTTATACTTAAGAAGGAATAAATGGTGCTTTGAACCACTCTGGTGTGTTTCTGTGTCTCGATGAACACATTAAAACACTCAGTGACAAGGATGGAAACACAAACATCGCTCATGGGACTCTTATTGTCCACCCGTTTGTTTGTGAGGGAAGCATCTTCTCCAAACCTTCCCATTTAGTGTCTACTGTCCTCCTGACTGTTGAAGATCTAAAAGCTCTAAAAGCCTGATACCATAAGTGGGATGAAGCATTCAATACATCTATCCATTATCTATACACCGTTTTATCCTCACTAGGGTCAAGGGGGGCTGGAGTCTATCCCAGCTGACTCAGGGTGAAGGCAGGTTCACCTGGACAGGTAACCAGTCTATCACAGGGCTACACTTAGAGACAGACAACCAAGCACACTCACATTCACACCTACGGAATCACCAATTTACCTCAACATGTGTGGGAGGAAGCCGGAGAACCCGGAGAGAACCCACACTGCACGGGGAGAACATGGAGACTCCACGCAGAAAGATCCCAGGTGTCCTCACTGGGATGCGAACCAACGGCCTTCTAACTGCGAGTCAACGATGCTAACCACCGAGCCACCTTGCAGCCCTGTTTGGTAATCCGTTTTTTACTTTTATATTTTGAAATTTATCAATGATATTTCCAGTTTTGTGAGGACTTTAAATGGAGCTTCGTGGTGCTTTTTTCCCTAAAGGTGACTGAAAAGACAGTGGGTCCAGTTTACTTGTACCAAGAGGCCAGTTTGAGAAACACTCAGCAGATAAAACAGAAACGAGAGACGCTTTATTGCAACCCGTGCACACCTCACGATGTTAAACGCTGTCAGATGACACATGTTGGGGATTCGCGCTATATTAATAAAACTGAATTGAGTAGTTTGCACGTCCTTTCAGTCATCAGTAGATTTGATCCAACTTTCTCTAATTGCAAAGCCTGCATTAGATCTCTAATCTAAATGAGTGTTTCATTCATTTCACTCAACTGCTAGTTGTCTGGCTATGAGATGCAAAGGTGAACGCCTTTCATTTGTACTTTGGAGAGGAGGTGCAGGATTTAGTGACATCTCCTGGTGAAGTTTCAGAATACAACCAGCATGAACCTCGTCTTACCCTCACCTCCTGTGGTCGCCACTAAAACTTCAAAAGGCCGTCCCCAGAGTTTGGTTTGTTCACGCTGGTCCACTGTATTTAAATGGGCGGCTGTGGCTCAGGTGGTAGAGCAGTTGTCCTCTGATCGTAAGGTTGGCGGTTTGATTCCCTCCAGTCACAGCCACAGTGTCCTTTGGCAAGACATTGAACCTGAAGTTGCTCCCAATGGCAGGCAGCACCTTGCATGGCAGCTCTGTCACATTTACCATTTATTTATTACAGGTAACAAAAGCACAAACGTTTTAGATTTTAGATTCCATTTCTGTCAATAAATTCTCTCCTTTTTCCCAAAAAATGTTGTTGTAATAATTATTTTAATTATCGTTACACTGACGTAAACTCCATCTCCTTTGCAGAAGTCTGGCTTCATTTTTGAACGTGTCGCTAAAGTGGAACGATCATCTCAGCATTAAAACGGATGTAAATAATAAAAAAACACACATTTTAATCTGTAAATTCAAGCAGCTGATGCATAATATTCACAGTCAAGTCAGCTGCTGTCAATGGAATCTGATGGTAAACTGTAAAATGATTAAACTGCATTGTACGTATAGTTAGTATTGTATTGTACATTAGTGTAGTAGGCAGGGACCGCAGAGGGAAACATCTGAGCCATTTTAAGGCAGTACAGCATCATTTTAATGGGGAAAAAACAATCTAAATTTAACTTTGATACACAGAGATGAGTTTTTGGGGGTTTAATTAATTACTAAAGGTCCCATTTTGTGCCCTTTTTTCAGCAAATTAATAAAAGTCTCACATGTTCTCAGAACATGTTAAGTGTAAGTTGACAGTGAGGGAGCAGGATTGTCTGAAAGCCTGTTCGTCTAAAGCTAGGATTTCCAAGGTGCGCTTGAACGCCCCATCACGTGAACTGCACCTGGGCATCCGCTGCTCGTTAGTTGGCACTTAGGTGTGATGAGAGAAGAGACGGAGGAAAGACATCCTCAGTTCAGTGTGTATTTTGTGTTTACCAAGTGAGTTATCTGCAGTTGTTGCCTGTTTTCAGAGACTAGTTTGAGGATGTGTAACTTTATTTGTGAACTTAGTGTTCCCATCCTAAACTGAACCACTAGTCCGTATTTTACAAGGATTATGCACTTTTTTTTTTTTTTTAGCTGCACAACCATCAGTTCCCTAGTTTCCAACACACAAACTGAATAAGACCACTTAGTGGCTTGTAAAGCTGCGACGCCATCTAGTTGTGGACGGGGGTGAGGGGAATGGCAGCAGTGAATGTCCTCCTGTTTTTATAGCTTTTACTTTACATCTCCAACTTTATAAAACATTTAAAACACAACAAAAATAGAGTTTCACCCAGTGGTACCCTATAGAACAACTTTGACAGTAGTTTCCCTCATACGTTAACACACTGACATGACAAAAACACTGTCTCCACTGATGGAGTGAACCTTATTCAGAGTCCAAAGAATTCTAATAAGATTTGTCTGTTTTCAACATCAAGCTTATATTTTAGATTTCAGTCTGGTCAGGGTAAGCAGGGGTTGGCTGGAGCTGATAAACCAATCAGATTATTGGAAATATCAACCAGTCATGCACTGGACTCCAAAATGTAAGCATGTAGCTTCTAATGTGTAATTAGCAGAATGTCCGAATTAAACATCCAACGACTTTCATGAGTCATAATCCAAACACGTTTATATCTCGCAAACAGGAAACAAATGTGGAATGGTGTATGCATGTAAAAGTCATAGCATATTCTTTTAATATTTAGTTGCAGTTGCAAGTCTGACCACAATCTTTAATAAAGTTAAATCACACTAATGTCATGCATCAAGAACAGCCTCATTTAATGCATCCGTTGTCCCTAATGGTAAAGATGCTGCAGTAACTTCCAGTATCTCATCTGTCGCCACACTCAGGACTGGTTTATGATCCGATACTTTGACTTTTCTACCATTCTCACTTCCAATGCGTTTGATAGGAGGGTGTTTTAACTTGACAAATGCTAGCATGCTAACAGTAAGCTAAGTGGTGGTGCATTCAAGCCCTGTCATTGTGGGTATGTTATGCTGTTGTTAACGTTTATGTAGCTCCGAGCTTCTGCAGGACATGAGAGTTGCCTCCTACTTTCTCATCCCACGTGGAAATACAGAAAATGTATGAATGAATGGTCATTTGCATTAAAGGTCACGGTAAACTGTTGGATGAGAGAGACGCAGTGCTGCTATAACTTGCATTGACTCGGTGAAGTCACATGTCAAGCATGTTGGCATCCCAGAGACAATCTGCACTGACTCCACTGACTGAACGTATAAATAGACACGGCTCTGAAAGGATTAGTAAGAGAGCGCAACGGCCGCTCACCTGAACCAACGTGAGACGCACAAAACATCAGTACGTTTGTGCGTTCACATTGTTGGATTGAGTCAAAGGCCGTCGGTTGAAGCATCTGTGTGTGAATATAACACTGGTGTGAATAAAAAAATACCAAAAATGAACTATTATAGCTGTTAAACATGACAGTAATCCTATTTTATTCTACTTAGAAATAGAAAACTAAATAGTAATACATCCATCCATTCTCTGTATTACATTATGTGGAGTCTAGACTCAGTCCATTACCTTTATTTATCTATATTTTTATTTAATTTTTTCATTTTGTCTTTTAAAAAAAATCTATTTTGTACTTAGATTTATATTGTTTTGTGTTCATCGTGGACAGCAAAGAAAGAATTTCATAGCACAGGGAAACACCTTTCCTTACTGTGCATATGACAACAAGCACTTTGAATCCTATATCTCATGTTTTAGGACTGTGTGGGAGGAAGCCGAAGAACCCGGAGAGAACCTACGCTGCACGGGGAGAACATGGAGACTCCACGCAGAAAGATCCCAGACCGCGGTTTAAAACCGACCTTCTGGCTGTGAGGCGACTGTGCCAACCACAACACCACATAACACCTGCAGTGATATGTCATTTCTGATCAATAATTTATTGATTGATTGTAGATCATGTACACTCTACAACACTGAACTAAATGAGTGATCAAGAAGGGACCCAACCACAGACGAAAACCCTCAAAGTCTGCAGTCAGAAACAAACGTATGAACACTGGCTGTTCACAAGGTCAGGCCTGTAGGTGACTCAGGAAACGTGTTGACATCAGTTGACCCAAAGGACCCCAAAGCAGATGCTGACTGACTCTGGAAAACCAAAGGTTCCGTTGGAGCAAGCACTTAGGGGACAGTGGAAAGAGAAACAAAACAAAAAACTCTCTTTTACCAGGAAGGAACATTAAGCAGAACGAGGCTCAGAGAGGGGCGGCGATCTGCCTGGAGCAGCTGGGGTGAGGATAGCAGGATATCAGATGGAGAACAGACAAAGAATACGTAAGAGATCAACGAACACTTTGGAGGTGCATCATGGGAGTCCTTCATCAGTCTAAACCTGCAGCAGCATAACTAAGGGACAGTCCAGGTGATCCTGAGCAGCTCTAACGATCAGCTTTTATCAAATAGGAAGTTGTTTTAACCCTGATCCTAAAAGCAGAGAGGGTGTCTGCCTCCTGAACCTAAACTGGGAGCTGATTCCACCACAGAGGAGCCTGGTTCTACTTCTGGAAACGCTGGGAACCACAAGTAGACCTGCAGTCTGAGAGCAAAGGCCTCTGTTGGGATGATACGGTACGATGAGGTTTTTAAGATACGATGGAGCTGCTCATTAAGGGTTTTATAAGTGAGGAGCAGGATTTTAAGTCATATCCTGGATTTCACTGGGAGCCAACGAAGTGAAGCTGATGTAACGGTTCCTGTCAGAACTCTGGCTGCAGCATTTTTAAGAGAAATATTAGGACGCCCTATTAATACGGAGTAAGAAAAGTCCGGGACAACATAGAAAATATAAATGCATGGACTAGTTTTTCGGCATCACTCTGAGTCAGGATGTTGTGGATTTTGAAACTGTTTCATAGGTGAAAGAAGGCAGCCCTACAGACCGGCTTTATGTGTGAGTTAAAGGACATTTCCTGGTCAAAAATAACTCCAAGGTTCTTTACAATAACGCTGTGGCTCCATCTGCCTGCTGTGGGCCGGTGATCATCAGGCAGCTTTGTCAAACATGGAGTCAAAAGAATCACTTCCTGTTCAAATATTGGAGTCTTTAAAAAAAGGTTTTCTAGGAAAAAGTCTTCAAGCAGTCTCCAGAGTCTGATGTGAATAATTCAGTACAGAGGCTGTGAGAACAAACATGAGCAAAATCTCAAGACTTTAACTAACATTTCCTTTTATATGTATGCAAACTTCTCCCAGCAACTGGGGTTTTTTTTCCATCCTGTGATCTTTTTAAGTCTTTGCAAGACATGACAGCCTGATTTTCAACTCACACCCTAATGCAGAGAGAGCTTCAGGCCTGCTGTATTCTGCAGGTTTTTCTTCACAGGATTGTTCAGTGTATTCATGAATTCTGTCCACACGTCACATTTTCCAGTCTTATTATTTGTTTGAATCTGACTTAAACATCCGTCTATCCATTGTCTATACACCACTTAATCCTCACAAGGACTGGAGTCTATCCCAGCTGACTGAGGGCGAAGGCAGGGATGAACTGTACAGGTCGCCAGTCTATCACAGGGCCATTCACATCTACAGACAATTTAGAATCACCAATTAACCTCAGCATGTTTTTTAACCTTGTGGGAGGAAGCCGGAGAACCTGGAGAGAACCCACACTGCACGGGGAGAACATGTAAACGCCACGCAGAAAGATCCAAGGCGTCCTAACTGGGAGGCAAATCGAACATCTTCTAGCTGTGAGGTGACGGTGCTAACCATCGAGCCTCACAGCTAGAAGATCCCACCGATTTAAACATCCTGATCATGTTTCCAGTTTGGGCATTTGTTCAATTTTTTCAAAAAAATCCCACAACAGTAAAGCCTGAAGTTTGCTGGATAATGCACTTTTGTTGAAATGGTGTCAGCTGAGCCAGAAGGCCGGCCTCCATCTGGATGATTTTCACCCTCAAGGAGAAGGATGAGGGAATCATCCGTAGAAATCAGGTGACCAAGAAACTACCGACACCTCAAAAACTCGGGGGGAAGGGAGCAGTAGTTTAAACTCTCCTGCAGTGTGTGGATCAGTGGAATCGTTTCCTGGTGGTGTGAGGACACATGCAGTGGATCTGGACTTAAGTTATGACAAATACGGATGTTCTGTATTAACAAAGATTCATGTCTAAATAATCACCTCAGCTGTGGTTCTGACAAAAAACATCAAAACTGTTCTATGTGCTCTTAACGCTTCTTATGTCTTATCCACATGTAATAGGCCCTGAAGCCAGGATTAACAATGTGTTAATGCTTTACCCCTCTGGTAATACACGTGTTAGTGTTGCTTTGTTTTCCTGCCGGCCAATCAGAGCAGTGATGAGCTGCTCCTCTGGAGGCACGGCAGCCTCGCGGCTACTTAGCGCTGACGTCACTAAGCTCCTTAGCCCGGCAGGTGAATGGAGGAAGAAACTGCAAAGATTTGTTTACGTTCATGTCGGGCTAAATGATGTGCACAGAGGAGCATCATGACGGCGGGTTTTTGTAGGAAGTAGATTATTTTGACCCGGCGGATTACTCACAAGTTGTTGTTTTTGTTTTTTTTTCCCAGAGCGTGGAAGTGTCCTTCTGTGTGAGCCGGCATGGAGTGTGGCGGAGGCAAGGTGGGTGACCGACAGGTAGCGGTGATGCTGGGAAATGATGTGGAAAAGACGCAGGGATAGACGGCCGATAACAACAGGGTGGATCAGGCTTTAGTGAGTGAATTAGGTCTGATTACACACACACACACACACACACACACACACACATGCACGCACACATACACACACACGCACATGCACGCACACACACACCTCTGACCAACATTCAGCACCTTGGACAGCAGTTACTCCAAACTATAGTATAAAAGTATTCACATTCCTTCTTATTGTAGTGAATCTACGTGTATTTGTTTCGTTGGCAGTTCTGTTAAACTATGACAGCATCCAGGAGTCCAGTGTCCTCAGATGACCACTGACGAAGACGAAGAGAGATTATAGAATCACGTTCTGCAATGCATTCGTCATCAGAAACCAAAACACAAAAAAAGTTGGATAAATTCATGCCTAATATAAAAGTGTGGCAAATGGGTGAATTTAAAAAAAACGCCAAATGTCGCAGAGACAGCACCATGTGGCTGCAGTAATCATCACTGATGCATTTTTACATACGCTTGTAAAGAGTTGCCGATGACTCCTACAATCTGACTTTTCTATGATGGATTTACTGAAACACAACCGTGCATTTTGATTGGTTCCTTCATAGATTAATTATAGGGCTTCTGGAAATATGACAAATTTGTTGGGTCAAAAGTATACATATGGCAACTTGAATGATCAGTTTTGGGGATGTGAGAAGCTGTGCTGATTGGTGGTGTGGCCTTCTGAGAGATTACGACAGCTGATTATTGAAAAGTGCTAAAAACGCAGATCTAATGCTGAACAGGAAGGTCACATGGAGCCACTTTAAGGCAGCTACAGAACTCCAAATCATCAGTTTGTAGGAATAAAGTTCATGGTCCAGTTGTGTTACTGCCCAGTCAGGAAGAAAACACAAACCATCACCTGCTGCTTGGTCAGGATGGTCAAGAGTCAACCAGGAATCATCAGAAAGCAGCTCTGGATGAATCAGAAGCTTCTGGAACACAGCTGTCAGTGTCCACAGGGTCTGACATCAGCATGAGCTGAGAGGCTGATGAAGAAGGAAGTTCTTCCACCAGAAGCAGAACCTCAACCCTTCAACTTTCTGCTCGACCACATGATAGAGAACGTTTTGACTCAGATGCAAATCAACCATGTCTACCACTCGGTCTCACACTTAAAGTCCACGTTCAGTAAAACATGTTTGTCAGTAAGATACAGTCAAAACGGACGCCACCAGGAGGTTAAAGCTCAACTAAAGTTTGCTGCCGATTACATGGACAAAGAAAAAACAATCTGGAGGAATAGTTGAGGTGAAAACGGAAAATAGGGGACGTTTAACCCAACATTAACGTTTCTGTGTGTATATTTTTGACAGAGCAGATTTTGTCATATTTCCAGAAGCCCGATAACAAATCTGTGAAAATGCATGATTTTTCGTTTTCGTGACAAAGATTCTGAATTATAGGAATCACTGAAAACTCAGGACTGCCGCGATATAAATAGTCTTTACTCACGACTGTATGTACGGTTGTGAAGCCTGATTTATTCTATAACGGTGCCTATTCAGCTTTTTAACAGTGTTGTGCAATTCTACAATTTCATTTTGTGGATGCTTTTGTCCAAAGCGACGTACATCTGAGAGCGGATACGACACAAGCAAGGATCTAGTCAGGAGAAAACAACCTGGATAAGTGTCATAGAACAAGTTCAGGTGTGATAGGACGTTGATGCCAACAGCAGGCTGTAGGAAGGGATTTGGATTTTTGTTTTTCTTTTCAGTCTGTCAAGAGAAAAGGTGTTCAGTGAAGAGCTGGTCTTTAGTCATTTCTTAAAGTAGTAAGTGCAGTTCTTAATGTTGTAGTGCAGTAATAAGTAGAAAGAAGTAGTACAAAGGGGTTGAAGGCTGATGTGGTGGGCAGTCTTCAAAAGTGGCTTAATTAACCCTCCGCTCTGAACTCCTAGCTCCTGTGTGTTTTCCTGCGCCTCAGTATAAACAGCACAACTATGGCTAGAAGAAGAAATAACTCAAAAATGTCCTTCTTTAAAAAAGAAGAAAAAAAAGTTTAATTGATTTGCTTATTTATTCTGCAACCATTAAAAAACATGGAATCCAACAAGCATAGAAAAAAAAAAAAAACTCTGAATGTTTGTCACTAAAGAACCAGCTGTTGCTTCCCAGTTGTGACAAGAAGCACCGAGTTCTTTGTTTCTTACAGAATCTGGTGCAGTTTATTTTTGGCATTATTTTTAAACGACACATACAGAATAAAGTTATTCTGATGAATTTTAAACTTGGGTTTGGTTAGGCTGAGCGACAGGACGCCACATGCTGCATGAGTAATGCATGAGATGTTGAACATCTGATGGTTCTTTCTGTTTTTACAACTTCTGAAAAACAAATAGTGTAGCTGTGAAGACTTTTGGAGAGAACATGGCTCTTTAACTCAACAGTTTCCTTATTCAGAGGGTTAGACACAGTCGGGTGAATTCCTCAGCTTGTCCCCTCACATTAATAGACTTAATTTTGTCTCTGCACGATGTTAAAATGAGAAAACCTGTTCAGCGTACTTTAATGTACGATGTGTCTTCACCAGCACAAATATCTGTGTTGGTGCATTCAGCAGTATGTCACAGCTGACGTGGAAACCTTCAGTGTCAAACACTGAAAGCAGCTTCGCTAACTATAGCTGCACTTTGTGTTGCACTTTGAGCCTCCTTCCCTCTCAATCAACTCTACGTCCGGTCCGTTAGCCGCTGTCTGATCATTTAAACCCAAGAGTAGAGGCACTGTAGATGTTTAGGGAGTCCATGCTTGTGTGGAGCGTCGTCTTCGCTGCTGAACTGTAAAACGACGGGAATGTTGGCACCGACTAGTGAAAAGCTGATTTACCCAATTGGTGCATAAACACGAAGGCGTATTGTTTCTACATGAATAAACACATAATAATGATAAAAATATAGGAAAGATATTCAGGCTTAGGGGCTCCCAGACCCTTTGGCTGCTGGACCTGTTTTTAGCAGTTGGCTGGTTCATCTGTGGTCATTGTTGACTGGACTTTTCTGCTATGTCGATATGCTGCAGTTTGTTTGTTGATGGAAATGATCCCACTAGAACAGCTGAGGCATTACCTCTAACAGGACGGTGGTTAGGCCTCAAGTATATTATAAGCTGACGGTTAATTCCAATTAGTTAGCATGCATTGAGAAACTCATGAATCGTATGTAAATATATACACACATTGTCTTCTCAGAGGACATTACAGTGATGTTTGTGTCCTGGAGACTTGCCCAAACCCTAATAATAACCATGACTTACCTAAATTGATAATGATATCTTGAAAAATAATGATTTCTTACCCCAACCTGAAACCAATTCTTCATACTAAAAACCAATCAATCAGACTGTATTTGTACAGCACTACACAATATAATGACAAAACCAACACCTGCCCAATGCAGGACTCAATAACTGAACTGAGGTGATGCTGTCATAGATAAATAAATACAAACAGGAAACACCGGAGGGAGAATCAGTCAGAAATTCAGACCAGCAAAACAATAATAATAATAAATTGTGTTTCAGTGATTCCATCATGGGCTGCAGTTGGTTAGCACTGTTGCCTCGCAGCAAGAGTCGCCGGTTCATGTCCCGGTGGGGGCACCGGGATCTTTCTGTGTGGAGTTTGCATGTTCTCCCCGTGCAGCGTGGGTTCTCTCCGGGTTCTCCAGCTTCCTCCCACACAGTCCAGAAACATGTTGAGGTTAATTGGTGATTCTAAATTGTCCGTAGGTGTGAATGTGAGTGTGCTTGGTTGTCTGTCTCTAAGTGTAGCCCTGTGATAGACTGGTTACCTGTCCAGGTGAACCTGCCTTGAGTCAGCTGGGATAGACTCCAGCCCCCCCTGCGACCCTAGTGAGGATTAGGCGGTGTATAGATAATGGATGGATGGATGGATGATTCCATCATAGAAAATTCTGACTTACAGGAATCACTGGAAACTCCAGACTGCCACAATACAAGTGTATGGTACCTTTAGTTCCTGACTCTGGGTCTTCAGTTTGCTTTTAAACTGCTACCCTCAAGGTCTCCAGAAAGGATGTTCCACAAACATGGACCACAAAACCAAGCTGCCAAGCTACCATAGGTTTTTATTCAGAATTTTGGTTAACGTAAAAAGGCCACTGCCCAACGACCAGAGGGTTCATGTGAGTTCACGGGATAAAAGCAAATCCAATAAATAGATGGAACAAAGACTATTAAGAGCTTTATGACCACAGCCCAGTGGCCAGATTGGAGACATTAGATGCTTCTGGTTCTAGTCAACACATGTGCAACTGAGGTTTGAAGACGCTGAGATATTTTCCTTTTGGGGAAATTCAGATTTCAAAGCACTGCAGTAAAGCGTGAACAAGTGCGTTTGTATTGGCTGGAGAAAGACTTGATGTTTCTGTTTCTAATGTGAGGCTCAAAACTGACACTAAAACTTCAGGTTTCCCCTGTTTGAGCTGTAGAAATGTTTCTGCCATCCACGGCTTGGTATTTAAAATACAGTGACAAAAAGGGGATTGATCGGGTCGTCAGGAGGCAGGGTGATGTAAAGCTGTCTCATCAGCATGACAACACCTCCTGATGACATTTCCAAATGGCAGCAGGTTAAAAAGTGCAGGACTTAAAGTTGAAATAATGTGGTTATATATCCATGTATTTTAAATAATCCAACAACATTAATGCAACGTTGAAAAACTCGGTTGATGCATGTAGAAGTAAAATTTGTTACCTTTAGAATTCATCGGCATTTCCTGTCCCAAGCAATGGCGTCAATTAAAACTCCAACATGACACGAGGAGGTCTGTATCCTCTCAAACCAAAGAAATCACTTTTCTTTTTTTTTTGTCTTTTTCTGTGTTTTCATAACAACAGTTGACACCCAACCTCCTGATGGCTGTTGGGACAGCCGTGATCGGCTCGCTCCAGTTCGGTTACAACACCGGCGTCATCAACGCTCCTCAGACTGTAAGTATTTGGTTGTGTGGGAGCAAAGTGAAAAAGAAAAAAGCAAACGATAGGAGACAGCACTTACGACTTGTGGTACTGGAAGGTGTTTTAGTGAAAGATCAGTCCAGGTGGTGTATTTTGTAGCTTCACCAGTAAAATCTGGGGAAAAAAACAAAAGGTTAAATACTGTGAGTAGGAACCTTTTATTTCATTTCCATCTACTTAGCTGATATTTGGAGGTAAGAGGATTTTGATTTAGTGTTTGTTTCGTCAAAGAATCCAAATTAAACTTTGAAAGTGACGAGGGCAAAAGTCGAATTTTGAAAATCAAGGACACATTTCACCACCTATTTTAAAATATCAATGGAAGCAATGCCAGATTTTTTCTGAGTGATGACTATTTAATCAGAGGAACACTGCTACCACCAACACGTTCATGATTCAGTTACCAAGATAAAGATAAGATAAAGATAAAGATAAAGAGACTTTATTGTCATTGTGCAGAAGTACAACGAAACTTGTGTGGAAGAACACGACAATAGCAGCAGTGCAAATAAGAATAAAAGGAGGTGATAGATGACATATGTTGCTCTTAATTTTATGGGACATCTGTGTTTGTGCATACTAAACCAAACCTCTAAGACAGCTGACAAGCTTCCGAGCCTGTCAGGTTTCTTTGAAGGTGATCTGATAGAAACATGCAGCGAGAGTAGCAGGTTAACGAGATGATGCAGCAGTTTGTTGGAGGGATTAAGGATTAAGCGGCTCTTTGTTACCAGCTACAAAATCACAAACAAGGCGACAGTATTGAATAACCCACGGTGAAGCGGTGACAAAAAGAGTAGAACATTTTGTCATAGTTTCCATCTTCTAGTATCAATGTTCATTTAGTTTTTACTGTCATACTGAAAAAAAATAATGCTGGGGCTTTGGGAAAATTAAAGTCTGGATTGAAGTGGCTGACCAACAATATCATGAGCTACGTTACTAAGACTGATAAAAGGATGTTTAATCTGTCTGTATTAAACCAACACACGTGGCTTCTGCCTGTTGTTCTGTGTTTTAGATCATTGAGGAATTCTACAACGAGACATGGAGCCACAGGTTTTCGGAGCCCATTCCTCAAACCACTTTAACGGCTCTGTGGTCGCTCTCCGTCGCCATCTTTTCCGTTGGAGGAATGTTTGGCTCGTTCTCCGTCGGCCTCTTTGTCAATCGCTTCGGCAGGTACGACTCTTCTTGTGGCGGCAACATTTTAAAAAAATTTTTTTTTATCTTAAATGATGAATAGAAAATCCTAAACGCTGCTCCTCATATGATCTCTACAGGAAGAACTCCATGCTCATGGCCAACGTGTTGGCCTTCATCGCTGCTATATTTATGGGCTTCTCCAAGCTGGCTGCTTCCTTTGAGATGCTCATCGTCGGACGGTTCACCGTGGGTCTCTACTCTGGCCTCTCCACTGGCTTTGTGCCCTTGTATGTTGAGGAAATCTCACCCACGTCTATCCGTGGCGCGTTAGGCACTCTGCATCAGCTTGGTGTGGTCATTGGCATCCTCATTGCACAGGTGAGCTCCATAACCCCTGAATCATGAACTCCCTCCATCATTTCCCATGTTTGGTTGTTTTAGGTAGGAAAAGATAGTATGACAGTATCACATTTTAATGCTTCATACTGAATGGATATTCTATTTTAGGGCTGCTCAAATGAAAATATTGAAGTTACCATTGCTGGCATTCATATAGTGGACAAGTCTTAATGAGAAGTCTTAATGACTAATGATCTCAGGGATTGAGGAGAACTAGAGGGGGTTTAGTGTTCACCTTGGTGTTATGAGAGCCATGTGGGCTTAGATTCGAAGACGGATTTTGGACTGAGGCTGGACGAATGAGAAAATGCTGGATAGACTGAGCAGGAGATGACACAGTGGCCGGTGAAGAGTCTGCTTGTGACCAGTCCGATCTTTGATTAAGCCTCTGCAGGAAGGTGGCTGCTTTGGCAGAGAATGATTTATGATAATCATAGGAAACAGAGCCGCCGAAGCACCAGGCCAGACCGGAAATAACACCCAAGTAGGTGTCAAGCTCAGCTCTGGCTAAGCCTCACAAATTACACCTTTGAACACTCCAAAAGCCACATTAAACTCGGTCACGGTTAGATTTTTTGACAGTCTAAGGTCATTGTCCTTGAGGATTACTGAAATGTCCCCAGTCTACGAGGCTTTTCTCTCCTAAGCCTGCTTCAGATGAGCTTAAACAGGATTTTCACCAGATTCACATCGTTACCTGCTGGTATCTGGCAGTGGAGATGATGTGATTTGGCTGTGGCTGGAGAGGAGAAGGGCACGCCAGTAGAGGGAGCTGGAACTCCAGTTTCTAGGGTTCTGTAAGTGGACGGCAGCATTGACTGTGACATCTGTAACTATTAAAAATCAGCCACTAATAAACATGAAAAAGAAGGCTCAGTGTTGACACCTTATTACCGTAAATGTACACAGGACATGTTACTCTCTTACTAGTCATTTCATTATCATGGGCACACTCTTATAACTTCACCTGCATGTTCTGCATTTCCACATCATGTTGCGGCTTGTTGTTCAGTTTGTTGTGCTCTATTACTGATGCTGGTCTTGGTAGGACCAGTCGGAATCCATGAGGTGCTGAGTGGTGTGCGGGAAATGGTCGGTCAAAGTGAAAACGGCAGGGCCAGGCAGGTGGTCCATGTACCGTATCCAGGAAGGAGGGAATGACTGAACCGAGGCTGAAAGGCTTGAGTGTTCATATAATCCATGAGTGGCTGGAAGACGAAAAAGCAGAATGGTCAGAGAGCTGATGGCAAAGCAGACACAAAAGTTTAAACAAGATAATGCAAGTGGCCTGAACTTACTGACAAGGTTGCTGAGTCAACGGTCAAACAAACAAAGTAGAGTATATACGGAGGAGGGAGGTGATTGGTGGCAGGTGAGCAGGTCTCCTGTGCAGCTGTCCTCACTTCTGCAATCAAAGCCACCACACCATGACGACTGTCATGCTAGAGAGAGGTAAGAGTAAGTCCTCTATGACTCACTCACCTGTTGGTAGTCTGGTCGTCTCAACAGCTGTCACAAAAAACATCAAGGCTGATTCACCTGCTGCCGTCCATTACGGCAGAATGTCTGCCTACAGCTGACTGGCTACAGTGATGCTTTCACTGGCACCCGGACAACACACTTACATTTACAGTAACTTGGACACCAGTGTTTCAGTATATGAACTTGGCCAATCAGAGCTAAGGTGGCCACATGAGGTCCAATGGTTTTTCAGGGGTGGCAGTGGTCCCACCTGGTCCCCCTCCTGTCAACACTTTTGTCTTTGGGAGATCCTGTGGGAGGTTGCTAGTGACTGCTGAGTGCTCAGACCCAAATACACTCTCATGCAGCAGGCATGTTGTGGTAGAACTTAAATCCAAAATTTACCAGAGGATAACAAATGCAGGCAGATGAGCAAACAAAGGGGTTGCTGGAGGTCCAGGAAAAGACAAACTAAACATCCAAAAGATTACATATCCAGGAGAAAACAAGAACACATTGGAACATGACAGAAAGCTCCTCAACAGCAAGATGTCTGGTCTGGTAGAAGTCTGGTATGGACTGAGATGCTGAAAGCCAAGGGTCACAGAGTTAAAGTATCTCAGGGATTGTATATCTCATCTGGCCTGGGTATGCTTTGAGATCCGCCGAGAATGTCCTCATCTGAAGTATGCTGTAGTTGGGTGTGGGCTGACCAACATAAAGCATGAGCCTGTGAAGGTAAGCCGACCCAGAACACTGGTAGAGTACAACATTTTATACAGATTGTTAAAGACTAAAGAGGGGACAGCATGTAAGTACAGTAGTGACCGGGGGTTGGTTTACATACAGGTGCTGATGAATAACAAAAGTTAAAAGAATAAAGGGCAACAAAAGGTTATAGAGTCAAGGTGTCTGGCAAACAACAAGAGGTAAGACAACAAGGGGTCTGGCAGAAAGTTATCAAACACAGAAGTGGTAGAATCAAGGGGTGGAACTAAGGGGTGTGTCCAGACATTACCTGAATATTAGAATCACATGTAGCAACAGGATGTGGAAGGACATAGACGGATCGGCAGTGATCTAAGTACAGTTCTCATTTGTTCATTTGGGTGTTACTTGGTCTCATCTCCTTTGTTGTGTCGAGCCAACGGCCAGCTGTAAATGACGGTGTGGCAGAAACTTCAAACTATTACATGGATGTTACATAGTTTGGTTATCACCTGTAGATAATATAATGTCACATGTGTTTGTGCTTCATGCATTGTATACAGTATATGTAAACAGTGTGTTGTTTGTATTGTGTAGATTTTTGGGATTGAATCCATCATGGGGAACGCCTCCCTGTGGCCTCTGCTGTTGGGTTTCACGGTGCTGCCAGCCGTGCTGCAGTGCGCCCTGCTGCCCTTCTGTCCCGAGAGTCCTCGATACCTCCTCATCAACTGCAACGAAGAGAGCAAAGCCCGCAGTGGTGAGATACACGTATTGTCGTCGGGTGTTGGAATGCAAAGACCAAATGCATTTGTCCAGGAAGATGGAAATGTCATGATAGACATATACACACCTGTGCAGACACAAACATCATCCATCCATCCATTATCTATACACCGTTTAATCCTCACTAGGGTCGCAGTGGGGCTGGAGTCTATCCCAGCTGACTCAGGGCGAAGGCAGGGGACACCCTGGACAGATCACGAGAGACAAACAACCAAACAATTCAGAATCACCAGTTAACATCACGACCACATTAACAGCTACTGTGCAGCCCCCACGCACATCATCATACACAAAATCATTTTAGCAGAAGTAAAAGCAATCATAATGTGCACAGTGTTGAAAAAAGCTTGTCAACTGAAGTGACACCAGTGAACACATTCCTATGTCACACATTAACACCTCATCACAACTCCTTCTGACGCACTGGTTACTTCCTCAGTGTCATTTCTACATGTGGCCGGGTCAGGGAGTATACAGGCCAACAAAGTCCTCCTACACAGGGTGGAGAGCGAGTATGAAATAGGTCAAACACAAAACTGTCATACTGAGGTTTGTGCCCCATGTGGGACAGTTTTTGTTCTCTTATTATTCAGGTGTTTTGCTTTTCATTTTCATTTGGGAAACTAACCTACTTCAGGTTTAGGAAACGAGCATCGTTTGGGTGAAAACAAACCCTTTGACAATATTATTGTGTTTGACAACAGCCTTCTCCTCCCTTGTCATCGTTACCACAGTGACAACTCTGCCAATTCGGAATCATTTCTCTATTGTTTCATGGTATCTAATTCAGATGTTAATGGAGTTCATCATCTTTTGACAACACATGTTCACACATATCTTGACTGTGTGGCAGCTTATGAACTGTCATAGATGCTCCTAACTTGGACTACTGTCTTTCAGTCTTAATGAAGCTACGGGGCACAGATGAGGTGAGTGAGGACATGCACGAGATGAAGGAGGAGAGCGAGAAGATGATGAGGGAGAAGAAGGTGACCATCCCTGAACTGTTTCGTTCCCCCGCCTACCGCCAGCCCATCTTCGTGGCCATAATGCTGCAGCTGTCACAGCAGCTCTCTGGTATCAATGCTGTAAGTCAACAGAGCAAAGGGGAACTGTTATGACGAGCGATGTCCCAAGTCAATCTCAATGATGACGATTGCCCAGTCAAGGGATTTTTAAGCTTTTTCTGCACAAACCTGAGCATGATCCTTTGTTTACATCTGCTGTTAGGCAGGTGTCATAAAGGGTAAGCACACTTTGTGGAAGGACACTAGCGATGTTATTTTCAAAAAATATTTTCTTAAACAATATGGTATCATATATTATATATATCAGAGTCCATTAACTGTCACAGAGGTCTTTGTCGTTGTGTCCTGTTGCTTCCTAAACCCCCATAGTTCTCTCTGCTTTCCAACTTGGAACTGCTTGTTGTCCCATTGCCTGCCTCCTTAGGTTGCTACAGTTAAGATGGTAAAAGGCTCCAACTGATGGTGTAATTAGGGACTACAGCTAATCTACAATACAGTTCCTATCACGATTGTAAAGAATACAGGTCTGCCCTGTCTTTCGGCGCTCGTTGAGCCACCCCCTACCCTCTCTACATTTCAGACAATGCCCTACCGGAGCTTTACAACAAGGTTCGTGACCACCGATGTAAGATTAAGCAACAGCATGGATGCAGAGATGCATCTTGTGTCTTAATGTAGTGCAGACAACTTCAGTGGTCAAGCATATACACTGGACAGACTTGGATAATGTTAATGTACTTGAGGTGTGTCTTAGAAAATGGTATCAGATTGGGACTCCAGGCAGATACTGAATATTAATGACCAGAAGGCAAGAGGCAGAGAACTTTCCAGAAGTAATTATTCCCTGTGTATGTCCTCCTCTGCAGGTGTTTTACTACTCGACTGGGATCTTTGAGCGAGCAGGTGTGTCCCAGCCTGTCTACGCTACCATTGGTGCAGGAGTGGTCAACACGGTCTTCACAGTCGTTTCTGTAAGTTGCAGAAGAAGAATTAGGAGAAAATACTCTGGATGGTGGCAACATTATAAATGCCATTACATTATTTTGAGATGAAATGTTTCCTCTGCTTCTGTGCAGTTGTTTGTGGTGGAGCGTATGGGCAGGAGACCCCTTCACCTCATTGGTTTGATGGGAATGGCAGTTTCAGCAATGTTTCTGACTGTTGCCATGGCATTGTTGGTAAGTGTTTGCAATCACCTTTACTGAATCCAACTTTTAAAATAAGCTGAATGTAAACATCTGTGGCGTGCTGCGCTCCTCAGGACCAGCTCAGATGGATGTCCTATGTCAGCATTGTGGCCATCTTCAGTTTTGTGGCCTTTTTTGAAATCGGCCCCGGCCCCATCCCCTGGTTCATCGTGGCTGAGCTCTTCAGTCAGGGCCCTCGGCCCGCTGCCATTGCAGTTGCTGGTTTCTCAAATTGGTCTGCCAACTTTTTGGTGGGAATGGGCTTCCAGTATGTTGAGGTAAGAACGCTTTCATATCAATCTGATTTCATTACTACATTTTCTGGTTGCATACCTCACAGTTGTAGCACTTTTATAGGCTGGATTGAAGTATGAAAACATGTATAGAAACTATTAGGAATTTAATTTGAAAATAGTTGGTTGTCTTATAAATACTTGAAGATACAAGTCTGTGTACATAGAAAGTCTGAGGAAGACAATGACTGTCCAGAAATTCCAAGGTGCGTTATGACAAAAGAAACTTCGCTCCCTGTGACTTCTTCCTCTTCTCCAAAATTAAATTCAAGATGAAGGGTTGGCTTTTTCACACAGTTTAAGAATTGTACCCCCCAATGTTCGACATATCTATCGGTGTTGATAGCTGTGTTCTGTTACATCCTGACTCATGACAGTTACTGCTTACACATGTCGCACATGTTCTATGCTGCTCATTTCTTAAACTGTGTGAAAGAGGCGACCCGTCATCGCGTGCAGAGCGCACAGCCTTGAAGGCTTTTGTTCAACCCTTGCACATGGTGTAGCATGGTGACCCTTTGCCTTTGATGCAGCTCCTCTGTGGCCCTTACGTCTTCATCATCTTCATCGTCCTGCTGCTTGGCTTCTTCGTCTTCACCTACCTGAAGGTGCCAGAAACCAAAGGACGCTCCTTTGATGAGATTGCAGCAGGTTTCCGCCAGTCAGCTGGTGCAGGCGCTGACAAATACTCAGCCCCCGAAGAGTTCAGCACCCTCAGGGGTGACGACCCAGACCTCTGAAAGCTGCTACGCTATTATTATTATTATTATTATTATTATTATTATTATTACCAAAGCTACCTGTTACACACTTTTACACTTTTAGAACACGACTACCATGTTTTAAATATTGCACAAGCTAGCGTTATATTACATAGGAGGTTTAGTCTTCACACAGACTGTAAAATTAAGACCAGATGGAGGACATTAAGACCTGTTTTAGGTGCTCACCACATTGGTAATATTTGCATCCCACTGACTTGTAAAATGAAGCAAGTGACTAAACTGAATGCTGTGCTGCAGCATAAAAAGCAGGGTAGATTTAGTATGCATGTATTTTGCAGAAGGTTTATTATTCAAAACAGAAAACTGAATTTAAACCCATAGTTTTGGGGGGTTCAATTAAAGCTACATGTTACTTGACTTGACCTGCTGCCCACAAGATTGTGTAAAACTCAACTGTATGCCAATGAGCAGAAATGTGCTACTCTCTGTAAGTATGTCCAACCCCAATGCAGCACCTTATTATACACAGATGTTAGAAGTGCTTTACAGGCAAAAAGGCCTGAACACAAAAAAGTACAGATAATGTGAACATATTGCACACAAATTTTACAATAAGAGCACACACAGTTAGGCTATAACAAAATAGATTATATGAATATATATTTAGATATTTAGAAAACATTAGATCTGCATGAAATGTGGATGTATTACAGACAACTGGACACCAAATTAGGCCACTCGCTGGAGTGAAAATTGCACATGAGCCAAAAGTTTTTTTCCTTCTGAGTTTCCTTTGACGTTGGCGGCACATCAGTGTTCCACCTGCTGCCTCACTGCGCCCATGCGCTTCACATTGGGATAGTCGTGAAAGTCATGGAAATAAAACTCATTTCACAGCTGTCACATATAAAATCTTAACAAAATCACAGTAGAAAGACTTAACGGTGGTCTGTGGGGAAATTACTTTTTCGAGCTGGAGGAGAATTTTTCCTCGACAATGCCACAAGTGACCACATCGATGGTGTGGACTTCTGAGGAGACCATATCCCTCCTTACATAAAACAAACAGAAATTAACAGATCTTCATCACTTCTTTTCATGTAATTGTTATTATCGTGTTGTGTTCTTTGGCAATAGACGGAAATTTTTGCCAGTTGGTGGAAACTTTATTAAAATGTGTGTGTCTGTGCTGCGTTTATTCAGCAGCACAGACTCGGCCAGATCTCCACCTTAAAACGCTTTGATGTCAGATAGGCACAGTTTCACCTTCCTGTTAACGCGAGTTGTTTTGCTTCTGCTGAACAGTTTGAATGTACAACTCCCTGTTTAAGTTATAATTAAAATAGTGCACTTTGTCAGTTTTTGGTTTTCATTACTTTGGTGTATTTTGTCTGTTATAGATGGGCTACAAATTAAAGGAATGCACAGGAGTTTAAAAGTCAGATATTCTAGCCAGCATGTCTCTGATTGTAGTTATGGATCTACTAGAGTTAGCATCCCGCGAATGTTCACTGTTTGCATTTCTGTGTTTGTTATTGTCCTACAATGAACATCCCATTCATTCAAACTGATATTTAGAGAAGGCCCAGTATTTTATATTTTGAAATGATCCTTCCATTCATTATGTGAAATGCCACAGTTAAATTCCAGTCTCCATATTATGGCTGAGAAGTATTAATGCAGGAACACTTTGTTTTTTACAGAATGAATGACTTGTGTAGTGATTTGTACTTGTTGTGTCCTACAGTTGTAACGGCCAGTGGTTTAGAAAATAAAACATACAACAAACCAATGGTGCATTTCAATTTTTCTAATACATGTAAATGCTGACTTAGATGAACTTTCTACAGCAGGACTGTGAAAATTCACCAAACGCCATCTGTACCTGACGTCAGTCCGATACTGGGAGACAAACAGTGCTGTCAAGACGTAGTACTGCAGGTAAACAGTGGGATTTTAGTGACCAACACTCTTTAAAAGGAAACAGCAGGAGAAATCAGAAACCATTTGACCACATGTTAGCTGGCAAATTCTACTTCCTGCCTTTAGACCTTCAAAATGCTCCATCTGATGTCAGTCTTTAACATGCAAAACAATACCGAGATGAGACAAGGTCATCAGTACATCCAGGCCAGCTGACAGCCTTCCCTGGGCCCGGGACAAGATGATATTAGATGCCCCCCC